GTGTTCTTATTAAATCTTAAAATTGTAAAGCCATCCGTGACATTACAGCCCATCAGAAGTGGCGGTTACCCAAAAAACTGTAGAGCGAATCGGAAAATAAATAAATTTTGGAATTTCTTTTGCGGAAATGACGGACAAACCCAACATGAAGGAAAACCTCATGCAGGTATTAACAGAAGCGGGAATTGAATTTCCCAAAACAGCAACAATTGCACAACTTCGATCACTCTGCGATAATGTGATGGGAGTTGCTAGTAATACAACTGCGGGTAAACTTAAAAATTCTAATCTTGGTGCCCATACATCGGCTGCTATTACCACTGCTGCCACTGCTGCCTCTGCTGCCACTGATACCACTGCTGCCTCTGCTGCCACTGATACCACTGCTGCCACCGATGTTACTGCTGCCACTGCTGCCACCGATAACATTACTGCTAATATCCCTAAAAACAATACTACTTCTGTTACTTGTACACCTATACCTGATTTCACGAAAGCGGATGAGTTGGAGCAAGAAATTTCAAGGCTAAAAAAACAGCGTGAAATCTTAACGCTGCAGCGGGAGATCCAGCAACTTCAAAACCAATCGTATCAGGGCAATTCTTTTGACATATCTACAATTGAGGTTATGGTGCCAAGGTTTTCAGGCGACGATAGTTACGATGTACGCAAGTGGTTTGGTGAGCTCGAGGATGTCTTCGGCATAATGCAGGTCGATACACGAATGCAGTTGCTTTGTGTTCGTCGGTTGTTGGATGGAACCGCAAAATTATTCGCCAGAACTGCCATAGCATCAGATTACCTCAGCTTAAAAACAGCGTTGATTGAACAGTTTGCCATTTCTTACTCCCTGTTGGACGTATATGAGGAGCTAAAAGCACGAAAATTGAAAAGCAGTGAGAGCGTTCAACGATATTTGTTGGAGATGCAGTTGATCGCAAGTAAAGCGAACATACCCGAGCGGGATTTGCTTGATGCAGTTATTGCCGGTATAAACGATAAATCAGGGGCGGCAACGATGCTTTACCAAGCAAATAACTTACGTGAGCTTAAAATTCAGATAGATCGTTATGAAAAGTTCCGTCCGAGAGTGGCCACAAGTGTCAAAACCGTCAAACCAAATGCTATGGGTACAACTTCTGCACAGTCCGAGGAACCACGCTGTTACAACTGTTCACAATTCGGCCACTACCAATCTCAGTGCCCGAAGCCTAAGCGAGCAATGGGTTCTTGCTTTAAGTGTGGGGAGTTGGGACACCTTTACCAGACTTGCCCGAAACGAGGTTTGGTCGCAGCTGTCAACAATCCGGAGCAGAGGTCAACATGTGATGAGGAGGAAGCCGAATTAGTTAGAGCAGTTCGTGAACTTCAAACGGTGAGTGTCGCTTTTAGGGTTGGACAAGACAAGTGCACGAAGTTTTTTGATTTTTTTTCTCTTCTTGATTCGGGTAGTCCGAGAAGTTTTATTAAGAGGTCCTGTGTCCCAAATATGAAGCATAAAAAGTTAGAGCGGTCGAAATATAAAGGAGTAGGTAATTCTCAAATTTGGACTTATGGTAATGTTAGATGTATTGTACAATTTGATAATCAGTGTGTTTCACAGGAACTATCGGTATTGCCGGATACTGCTCTTGATGTACCATTGCTGATAGGACGGGATCTCTTGAAGAAATTTAATATATTTTTGTGTAAATTTGGAACTAAAATTAAATATTCCAAAAGTGAATTAATAAAAATTAAAAATGCCTCTCAGTTGAAATATTCAAAGAACTTAAACCATGGTGCTCTTGCCTTGTTTAACTTAAGGAAATTCGATGTTGAAGGTAAACGGTGTCTGAAGGGGGGATTGGGGGAAGGTAATAGAGTGGTGCCATATGCAGGATTAGGAAAGGGAAGGGTCGGTGTTCTGACGCCTTTAAAACACGGTGGAGTAGAATTTCAAATACAGATGTTCGCAGCGGAAATAGTCGAACAAAGTCAAAGTAGTGAATCAAATATAATGGTTGATATAAGTTACTTAAATTTCTATGTATCAAGAATTTCGGACTCGAGAAGCTTATCGGAAGTTAGTTTGAATCCTGATTTAAGTGAACAACAAAGTAAACAACTGCGGGATGTGATTGTAAAATGTTATTTTAACCCTTTACCCGTTTCGGAAAGGGAGCCTTACGATCTAAAAATGAAATTAAATTTGACCGATGACACACCATTTCATTGTGCACCGCGTAGGTTATCTTTTTCAGAAAAATCCGAAGTACAGGCAATAGTCGACGAACTTTTATCTAAGGGTATTATTAGATATAGCAACTCACCCTATGCCTCAGCAACAGTACTGGTGCGGAAAAAAAACGGCGAAGGTAGATTATGCATTGATTATAGGTTTTTGAACAAGAAAACTGTTCGTGATAATTTCCCTCTACCCTTAGTGGAAGATTGTATTGAATATCTGGAAGGAAAGAAATATTTTACAGCTTTGGATTTGAAAAATGGTTTCCACCAGGTGGAAATGGATGAAGGGTCAATAAAATATACCTCTTTTGTAACAGCAGGGGGTCAGTATGAGTATACCCGGATGCCATTCGGGTTGAAAAATGCGCCCGCGTTTTTCCAAAGATTTATTTGTGCAATTCTGAGAGACTTGATCTTCTCTAGGAAAATAGTTGTTTTTATAGATGATATAACGATAGCGACGAAGGACTTTAAGTCCCATATCGAAATTGTTAGTGCGGTTTTACAGCGGTTGCGCAAGAAAGG